CCCCCACCCTCATCCTAAATAAAAATATTATTAATAGTACTTTCTTTTCAACCAAATGATTTAGAAAAAGTATTTTCTTTCATTTCAACAAAATGATTACTTTATTTTTATTTTATAGAAATAGTACTTTTTTCAATCAAAGAAAGAGTATTTTCGTTATAGTTATGGAGCATAAATTTTAACATTATTTTGCGTAAAAAAGTAAAGCAACACATTAGTTTCGTTGGGTTTGTGTGAAATTTTAGAAGAATAACTATTTTTTTTTAAAAAATAGAGTCCTGAAAACGTTGGGTATTTGAGGGGGGTGGGGGGGAGGGGCAAGAAAACATGGAGACTTGGGGGAAGGAGATGAGGAGAGTAGTATAAAAAATATTTTATACTCTCTAACCAAATACTAGAAAATATTTTTTGGAAAAAGTTTTCCACTCACCAACCAAAACAAAGAAAACTAAGTGATAAAACTACTCATTTTTCATGAAAATATTTTCTAGAAAAACATTTTCCATGAAAAATATTTTCCTTCGTACCAAACACACCCTTAATTGCTTATCAGAAAGTGTAAAATATACTATAATCTAGTATCAAAAGATCGACTTTCTTTCATTGTTCTTTTGTACGTAGTCAATCTAATATGTCTAAAATTTTCTTCAATTATTAATTTATTATTATCATCTTCATTCACTATATAAACAAAATTAGATACAATAGTAGCTAAACTAGAGTCAAGAAAACTTGATTATAGTACATCATGTAGATATGTCTATCCCATATTGTATTATATTCATGCTGTATTTCACAAGGTGTTCCTCAGACAAATGAGGATTATTTATTACTAGAATATAAAATTATCTTTGAAATATCTGTCACTTTTCCTCTGCGTGGAATTGGGGGTCCCCACCTTGTTTCTCACTTGGCTTGGACAGGCAATGTTTGAAAGTGGAGCGCTCAAACAGATAAAAATCCAGGACAGAGCAATTTTAAAGAGCTTTGTGTTTGACAAAATAAGATACAAACAAAGAGAGATTTGTGATTTCTGATCACACTTTGTCTTTATATTGCCTAATTATAAGAAGCTGTCCTTTCAGCATAGGACAAGTTGAAACTTTTTGTGTTCCCATTGGAAGCTTCACCTCCTTCTATTCTGCAGCCTAATGAGGAGGAACTCAGGATAGTATTGGGGGGGGGGGGTTGCACTAGGGTGGGGAGTATTAGTAGGACAATAGTATCTTGATCGGTTGGAAAATTACCTAGTTTAACCAGTTAGTATTGATTGATGGTCAAAGGGGGGAAAAAACTGCAGGAGCTATTTTTAATTCCCATCATGTGCATCTCAAGGCTGTGATGTGCATTAAGGTTATTCATAATTGTTTGAACTTAAATTAGGTCCTATTGGAGCGCACAACTAAGCAATATGGTTGTATCTATTGTTTCACTTATTATATTTGGCAAAGACAGTAATCAAATTCTTTTTACCTATCTCGTTAATGTGATCAGAAATAGAAAAATATGGATGAAATTAAAAAAGACGTATTACTACATTCTCTTATTCTATAAGAGAGAGTTAAGCACCTCTCCGTCAACATGCCTGCCTGTGCTATGTGGGTATCTTGATCATTTTACATTACATTCTCTTAATCTATAACAGAGAGTTATCTCTAGCCTTTCTTGTGGATTTCAAATGACGAAAAAAATCAGAAATATTCAGCTCCCAAGTACGCAGCATTTTGGAATTCCGTTTTATTCCTAAAGATCAGGTTTCCCAAATTACTTCTACTATGTCTGCTGACTCACACTCCTGAAAGAACGCCATCTGCTGTTTTTGCTTTTGGGTGGACGGTGGGCAATATCAGATATTACTTTTCTTCCCCTACAATTTTTAATCAGTTTACACTCTGTTTATTGTTTAGTTTCGCTTTGTTCTTCGGCTTTGTTGCTGCTACTCTTTTGATCACTTCCAGGTGAGATCAATTTACCCTATACTATTTCAATTATCTTCGTGATCTTCTCTTTCTACGTGGTAGCTTCTTTGTTTCTATTTTAGCTTCTGCCTGTAGGTGTTTGAGAAAATTACTCAACGAATTAGGCTTTTCTTTTGTACCAGGGTGTACTGATCAAATTTGAGGTGAAGCATTTACACATTTTTTAAATTTTTGAACTAAAAATTAGCAAGAAATTATGTTGAACTACTAAAAATTAAAATCTTAGGAGGAGAAAAAATAAAGATTAAAAATATGAAGAAAGACTAAAATTGCAGAAGAAAAATGATAAAATAATTTGTACGAGCCTTTGATTAAGTGATACATTGGACTGATGTTCCAGCTTACTTGTAGAGCAAATGAGTTTGCTTTTCAAATTTTCATAATTATTTAAATTTTACTACTTTATATTGGTCAATTTCCATCTCTCTGTTAGGCCTTCCATGTTATATGGAACTGAATGTTGGCCGGTAAAGAACTCACACATCCAGAAAATGAAAGTAGCAGAGATGAGGATGTTGAGGTGGATGTGCGGGCATACAAGAATGGATAAGATTAGGAATGAAGATATTCGAGAGAAGGTGGGCGTGGCCCCCATGGAGGACAAGATGCGGGAAGCAAGACTCAGATGGTTCGGGCACATTCAGAGGAGGAGCACTGATGCACCGGTGAGGAGGTGTGAGCGACTGGCTGTAGTGGGCACGCGGAGAGGTAGAGGACGACCTAAGAAGTATTGGGAAGAGGTGATCAGACAGGACATGGCGCGACTTAGGATTACTGAGGACATGGCCCTTGACAGGGAATTATGGAGGTCGAGCATTAAGGTTGTAGGTTAGGGGAGAGTTGTGAATATTTCTACAGCACAATAGAGTGAGACTAGCCAGTTAGGAGTTGGACTAAGAATGTCATTGGTCGTCTATTGATGCAGGGCTTTACCTGCTTAGTTTTACTATACCAACCATCTTTTTCGTATTTCTAATTCTGTATTTCATATCTATTGTATTGTTGTTATTTTATTATGCATTTTTATTATGCATTTTTATGGTACTAATATATCGGCTTCTGTTGCTTTTGAGCCGAGGGTCTCCTGGAAACAGCCTCTCTACCCTTCGGGGTAGGGGTAAGGTCTGCGAATATATTACCCTCCCCAGACCCCACTTGTGGGATTATACTGGGTTGTTGTTGTTGTTGTTGTTGTTCCATCTCTCTGTAATTTGTTTTGCTTCTTCAAGTTTGCCCACAAGTTTAGTTGGTACAAATCCTTGGCAAGTCTCACTTACCTTAAATCATCCGAAGTTTTGTCCTCTCTTGAATTTATTTACTTTTTCTTTAAGTTGTTCCTGAAAGAAATTTAAAGAAAGGAATTTCAGAAGACATGATATTATAGTTGGTGATAATTTAGAAGTATATAATATAGGAAAGCGGAGCAAAAGTTTAGCCCTAAATACCTGTTGAAACCTTTTTAACTACTTTATATTGGAGAAATTCTTTTACATGGTGATTTTTACCAAACTCATTTTAAATTATTGAAATGAGTAATTTTTATAGTTCACATGATCATTGGATTTTAGCTCTGAGCGGAGTGACATTAACTTGATGGCTTTTATGAATATTCGGACAATGAATTTTTAGCGAAAAATGTGATTTGCCTATTTTGCTTTAATGACTGATGCACACTGTTTGCAGGTTTCTGGAATTAACGTCTGATTACTATGTCTAACTACTCCGGCTTTGCGAGGTAAGCTAATAGAAAGCATCAGTTCCCCACCAAATTATTCAATTTTGCCTTTCACTTGATATCTTTTTGGAGAAAGGGTGTAGTTTATTTTTTAATACTGCTTATATTGGATGAGTATAGATGTCGGGGGATAAAAAAGATGTGCCTATATCATGTTCAGGACAAAAGAACAAATGTCCATGCTTGGCAGATAGAAGTGCTGAAATGAAATTCAATCGCCGTAAAAAATATAAGAAAATATCAGCGGATAGAAAGGAAGAATTATTGTTAAACCGACGTACGAAAGAACTCGATTCAAGAAAAAGTCTTCTAGAAAGTCGTACTCTGAATAACTCAGTCAAATCAACATCTCTAAGTAATTCAACGCTTCAAAGGGAGAGTGCTCTCATAATAAGAGATTTCTCTTACTTCAAATCAACGTTAGCAAATTAAACTTTCGCTCTTTCTATTTAAATGCAGTCAGTTTAAACTAAATATGTTTCACGCGTCTTTATTAGCTGCTAAATGTGAATTTAGTACTTTACCTGCTGCTTCTGCAAAATGAAAAAGTTTAGTTGGTCGTTTTTCCATCTTCGAAATAGGCAAGTATATGAAGCATATTATTTTAATAAAATTTCTATTGTCGTAAACCATTTACTTATGTAATTCAGAATTGCGTCTATATTAGGATCCACATCAGGTACATCTAATGATCGATGTAGTGTTGGTTCAGAGAATGTAGCAAATAGAGGTTTGTATCACTCTCAAGTTAGAATAGTATTCGCTATCTTCCTTTGGAGTGAAAATTTACTCCTAATTATTTCTGTAATATTCAAGAGTTAGACTATGTAGAAGAGCCCCTCTGCACGTTATTGGTTCACAAACCGAATATGTTGCTCTCAAATTTGTCTCAAACTGTAAATTTTGTGCTGCAAAAAGATTTCAATATGAACCCCCTAGATTCTGTTGCAATAAAGGTTCAATCAAGCTTACTTCACATGAAATGCCTATAGAGCTACGAGAATTATTTTTGGGTACTACTGAAGAGTCTGACCATTTACGAACATATATTAGTACATACAATAACATGTTTGCATTTACTTCGCTCGGGGTAAAATATGATAAAGACTTAGCTAAGAGAAATCATGGTATCTATACATTTAGAGTTTAAGGAAAAATGTATCACTTTATAGATGATTTATATCCTGCGAACGAGAAAGGAATAAATTTACAGTTATACTTCTATGACAATGAAAATGAGATAGCAAATAGAATTGCTTGTTCAACTAGAGTACATGAGTCAATGATCAGAAAATTGATGAATATAATACAAAATAATCTGTATAGTGTTTTCTTGAAATCTTTGGCAAATGTTCTGGAATTATCGAACTTTTATATTGCGCTCAAATGTGACTCAGGTTTAGATCAACGAGTATATAACTTACCTATTGCATCTGAAGTTGCAGCAATAATGGTGGAAGAAGGCGTTCATATTTTCACACATCACATTCGAATTTATACTCACACCAATAAAAGCCAATTAGTGAACTATTACTATGGATGTTATGATCCCTTGTAAATACCCACTACTATTTTCATATGGTCAAGATGGGTGGCACTGTGGTATAAAAAAAATAGTACAACCAAAGAATACTACTAAGATGTTGTGTCTACTATGAACAGGAAAATTTACCAAGTGTTGCAAACATGTATTCAATTGAAAATTTTCTTGATATGGAAGCTCAGGTACTAGAACAACAAAGGGAAAAAAGAAATATTGCCTCTTCTCGTGAATATTATTGTTATAAAATTCAAATAAGAGATGATGAGACTGATGAAATCTTACATATTGGAAGGATATTCCAACAATATGTCATAGATGTATTCATAAAACTTGAAACACAACGACTAGGCTTCTTCTCTTTCAATCCAGACTTGTTTAGAATTGAAGTTTTGCAGGGTATTCTTGATATCTTAAAACAAGGTGAAAGAGATGCTTCTAGAATCGGAAAACAAACTTTCCTTCCTGTTACATTTACAGGGGGACCAAGAGATATGCGCCGGCGATATATGGATGCTATTGCTTTGGTACAACATTTTGGAACACTTGACTTGTTTCTAACGATGACATGCAACCCATTATGGCCAGAAATAAAAGAACATTTGTTATCTACTGATGAGGCACAAAATAAACCTAACTTAATTAGTCGCGTATTTAGAGCAAAACTGGAAGAGCTAAAAAATGATATATTAAAAAGAAATATATTTGAAAAGGTTGTTGCTTTTATGTACACTGTAGAATTCCAGAAACGTGGTCTTCCACATGTACATTTTCTTATTATTCTTGCTAATGAATACAAATTGTTGACACCTGAATCTTACGACAGAGTCGTTTGTGCTGAATTACCTGATCTTGATAAAGAGCCTTACTTATACTCACTTGTTGTACATCATATTTTGGACTGTCCTTGTGGTCATTTGAATCCTGCAAATTCATGCATGAAAAATGGATATTGTAAATTCAATTACCCTAAAGATTTTGCTGATCGAACATCAAAAGGAAAAAACTCTTATCCAATTTACAAAAGACGATATACAGGTGAAGCAATAAAAATTAGAGAACAATTCCTCGATAATTTATGGGTGGTACCATATAATCCTTTTTTACTTGGCAAGTTTAACTGTCATATGAATATCGAGATATGCTCAGATATTAAAGTTGTCAAGTATCTTTACGAGTACATATGTAAAGGGCACGACAAAATTTCTTTTTCTGTACATGACAATGATAAAGACAAAGAGATTGATGAAATAAAAGAATATTAGTCTGCTGGATGGGTATCTCTACCCGAAGCTACATGGAGTTTATTTGGTTTTTCTATTAGTGAGATAACATCAAGTGTTTATCATCTTCAATTACACCTTGAAAGACAACAATATGTTTCTTTTAAAAGCACTGAGAGTATAAATGCAATTTTAAAAAATCTTATGATTAGAAAAACAATGTTGACAGATTTTTTGTCATGAACCAAACAGATGATTATGCTAGAGAACTTAAGCTACTACATAAAGAGTTTCCAAAATACGTTGTATGGTCAGTTACAGACAAGACGTGGACATGTCGAAAACAACGTACCGTTATTGGATGCATTGTGACATGTCATCCAACAGAAGGTGAGAGATATTATCTCAGACTATTATTACTGAATGTGAGAGGACCAACATCATATGAAGATCTTCGTATTGTAAATGGAAGAAGTTATATTACATTTAGAGAGGCTGCTGAAAAAAAGAGGATTATTACATTCTGACAACAGTTTAGTTGACTGTATGATTGAAGCTGCAAGCCATCAATTGCCATATAGTTTAAGACGATTATTTGCTACGCTATTGGTGTATTGTACTCCTACTAATCCAAAAGAGTTGTGCGAACAATTTGAAGACTCAATGTCCGAAGACTTCAAATGCTTGCCAAATAATGGATATAAAGATATTCATCATAGAGTCCTGAACCAGATCAATGACAAATTACATTCGATGGTACACGACATTAACGAGTACAAGCTTGTTGCAGAAAACATTAGAGCTTCTGCAATTGCAAAAAAGGCAAAAGAAGTTCATTTTGAGAGAAGCCTAAGAGTTTCCGAAGAAGATTTGTTACTAGAAAAAAAACTAAATACAGATCAACAAAGAGCATATAATATGATTGTTGATAGAATATTTTCCAACAAATCGGGAGCTTTTTTTATTGACGGGCCAGGAGGAACTGGTAAAACTTTCTTATATCGAAGTTTGTTGGCTACGGTTAGATCTAAGGGATTTGTAGCACTAGTAACTGCAACTTCTGGTGTTGCAGCTTTTATTCTTCCTGGAGGACGAACAGCTCATTCGTGCTTTAAGATCCCTATTGATATTGATGAAAATATTGATTGCAATAACAGTAAGCAAAGTTCACTTGCATGTTTAATTCGGGACGCAAAATTAATTATATGGGATGAGGCATCAATGGCTGAAGGGAAAACGATTGAAGCTTTTGATTTACTTCTGAAGGATCTAATGGATACTAAGATGCTCTTTGGTGGAAAAGTAGTTATTTTTGGAGGTGATTTTAGACAAACTCTTCTAGTTGTTCGAAATGGAAAAAAAAGAAGACTTTATTTTTGAAAGTTTACTATACTCTGAAATTTGGAATCAACTAGAAAAACTACAACTGTCAGAGAATATGCGTGCAAGAACAGATCACAGCTTTTGTGAATACTTGATGAGAATTGGAAATGGAAAAGAAAGACTTGACGCCCAACAAAAAGTTCAAATTCCTAACTCTTTGATCATTCATTTTACAACTCAAGAAGAATCCTTGAATAAGTTATTTAAGGTAACATATCCCAATAAAGATTCCTTATTTGACGATTCTTCATCCATAGCTTCTCGTGTGATCTTGACAACAAAAAATGATTTTGTTCATGAAATAAATGATATGCTCATATCTACATTCCCAAAAGATGCTAGAACATATGCTGCAATTGATGAAACTGTTGAACCGAATAACCAAAGTCAATTCGAAGATTATCTGCATACTTTAAATCATGCTGGTTTGCCTCCTTACAGATTGACTTTAAAAGAAAATTGTCCAGTAATGTTACTACGAAATTTAAGTCCATGTGAAGGTTTATGTAACGACACACGGTTAATATATTGTAGTTTTAAAACACATGTTATAAGTGCCAAAATTGCTAATGGTGATTTTCAAAATAGACATATTTTTATTCCAAGAATACCACTATTAGCATCACAAGATGAAAAAATTCCAATTGCTTTTAAAAGAACACAATTTCCAGTACGATTGTGCTTTGTTATGACTATAAATAATGCTCAAAGTCAAACTTTAGATTTTGTTGGAATTTATTTACGTGAACCAGTTTTTTCCCATGGTCAACTTTATGTTGTTTTATCAAGAGCTAAAAGTTCAGAAGGTGTGAAACTATTAATTCGACCGCAGACATCAGACACCAAGGATGATCACTCAATGTATAACATAGTTTATGATGAAGTTATTCAAAAAGCGTTCAATTAACTGATGCCAAGTAATAATTTTTATGCTTCACATGCCGCAAAAATTATTGTGATATTCACTCTATACAACTCTGTTAAATTCTAAAGTCATTTGTACCTATTTGGCACTTTCTATTTTAATAATTGTTACTGTTGACGGTTTAGGTGTATTATTTGATGGAAAACATGTGATATTTATAGCAAAAATACTCAAGTAAAAATTCTAAGGGGCAACAGCTGGAAGAGTAATAATTTTGGTCATTTCCTTGATATTCTCTGTAGAGAACTACTTGGTTCTTTTAAGGAAATTAAAGGTTTGATTCTTTGTCAGTAAAAAAATATAAGTTTTAACTTGATTTTGGTGAAATAAGAAAGTTTGTGAAAAAAATGAATAATATTTTCTCTAATATCTAGAGTTACCATTTAGCATTGCCCTGCTATTATCTGCTTTACTACTCTTATTACTTGTAGCGGGATTTTCTTATTTATGTTTCTTCTAATGTATTGCTCCAGTGCCATCCGCACCACTGTTCATTTTTTCTATGTTTTACCCCTCCTTTCAGTACCTAGAAATGCCATCCTCGCCTATTCAATTTTGTAATGCTTCATCATTTAGAGTCAAGATATCTATCAATTCAGCAAGACAAACATGAAGGTGAGTTCCCCTGTTAGAAGTTGAATTATATACTCATGCTTTCTAGCTTTTGATATAATTTCTTCATTAGTTGCCTACACGAGGAATGTTTCTCTGTTATTCCCTTGGACAAATGATTTTAATAACAAGGTCTTGCTTTAGACCATATAACCATCATCAGATAATATAATTGAAAAAAGCATGAAAGGAAAACAAAGAAATTATAACAGCTTGGTTCATGCTATAATGTATGCTTTGGATCTCTAATTTACAGATAAATTTGTGTTTTACCAGTCTTTTATTTGGTGATGTGCTATACAATGAATTTTCTCTCATTATGTGATGACCCGGCCAGTCGTCTCATGAGTTACTGCTCTGTTTTCCCCTATTTTAGCTTCTTTACGCTACGTTATCCGTGTTTTATATGATTGGGTTGATTAGTTCGAGTTCGGAGAGGATTTGGTAAGAAATGAGACACTTAGTCTCTTTTAAGAAGGCTTAAGTTGGAAAAATCAACCCGATGTTGACTTATATGTTAGAAGGTTCGGAAGTGAGTTCCAATGGTTCGGTTAGCTTCGGGAGGTGATTTGTGACTTAGGAGCGCGATCGGAATGGGTTTTGGAATTGTAGAGAAGATTTAGGCTTAAATTGGCGAAGTTAATATTTTGGCGGTTCCGGTTGATAGGCGAGATTTTGATATAGGGGTCGGAATGGAATTCCGAGAGTGACAGTAGCTTCATTGTGTCATTTGGGATGTGTGTGCAAAATTTTAGGTCATTCGGACGAGATTTGATATACTTTTTGATCGAAAGCATAATTTAAGAGTCCTTAGAGTTCTTAGGCTTGAATCCCCTGTTAAATTAGTGATTTGATGTTGTTGTGAGCGTCCCGTGGTTTTGAACAAGTTTGAACGATATCATGAGATGTGTTGGTGCAATTGATTTGGAATTTCAGGAGTTTCGGGTAGGTTCCGGGATGTTTTAGGCCAAAATCATAACTGTAGCAGGTCCAGAAGGGTTGCAGGCCTTGGAACCCACCCGCGCGGACCGCACAAAAAGAAGTGCGGCCGCGGTATGTGTTGTGCAGACCGCATAAAATAAAGTGCGGCCGCGGTGGTTTTGTGCGGGCCGCAGTTCAAAGTTAGCTCAACCATATTAGAGTTCAAAGTTATATATTATTTGCATTTTTTAGGGTTCTTATTAATACATTTAGTCCAAAATATTTAGTTTTACCTATTAATTTGGGGAAGAAATTGTTTGAAGCGAAGAAACCCTAAGAGTTGCACCTTTAGGATTATGTATTGGATTTTAGTTTATAAATTAAAATTTTAGGATATGACTTGAACTTTTATGGATATGAGTTGAACCTTTAGGATATGAATTGAACCTTTAAGATATGAATTGAAATTTTTGGTTTATGTATTGGAAGTTTAGTTTATAAATTAAAATTTTAGGATATGACTTGAACTTTTATGGATATGAGTTGAACCTTTAGGATATGAATTGAACCTTTAAGATATGAATTGAAATTTTTGGTTTATGTATTGGAAGTTTAGTTTATAAATTAAAATTTTAGGATATGACTTGAACTTTTATGGATATGAGTTGAACCTTTAGGATATGAATTGAACCTTTAAGATATGAATTGAAATTTTTGGTTTATGTATTGGAAGTTTAGTTTATAAATTAAAATTTTAGGATATGACTTGAACTTTTATGGATATGAGTTGAACCTTTAGGATATGAATTGAACCTTTAAGATATGAATTGAAATTTTTGGTTTATGTATTGGAAGTTTAGTTTATAAATTAAAATTTTAGGATATGACTTGAACTTTTATGGATATGAGTTGAACCTTTAGGATATGAATTGAACCTTTAAGATATGAATTGAAATTTTTGGTTTATGTATTGGAAGTTTAGTTTATAAATTAAAATTTTAGGATATGACTTGAACTTTTATGGATATGAGTTGAACCTTTAGGATATGAATTGAACCTTTAAGATATGAATTGAAATTTTTGGTTTATGTATTGGAAGTTTAGTTTATAAATTAAAATTTTAGGATATGACTTGAACTTTTATGGATATGAGTTGAACCTTTAGGATATGAATTGAACCTTTAAGATATGAATTGAAATTTTTGGTTTATGTATTGGAAGTTTAGTTTATAAATTAAAATTTTAGGATATGACTTGAACTTTTATGGATATGAGTTGAACCTTTAGGATATGAATTGAACCTTTAAGATATGAATTGAAATTTTTGGTTTATGTATTGGAAGTTTAGTTTATAAATTAAAATTTTAGGATATGACTTGAACTTTTATGGATATGAGTTGAACCTTTAGGATATGAATTGAACCTTTAAGATATGAATTGAAATTTTTGGTTTATGTATTGGAAGTTTAGTTTATAAATTAAAATTTTAGGATATGACTTGAACTTTTATGGATATGAGTTGAACCTTTAGGATATGAATTGAACCTTTAGGATATGAGTTGGACTTTTAGTTGATGTATTGAAATTTT